AAGATAACATAATTTTTAAATCTTATGAACTATGCTCACTAGGAATACCATGAATAGCAGACAAAGACAATTTGAACAGCTTTTGTTTCAGAAAGCCGTTCGGGAATTGAAGAACAAAAAACGGTGCTTCATGTATTCAAACTTATGAAAACTGAAAACCTTGGTGAGATGCAATAAATCAATTTTTTATTTCTGTTATTTGTGTTTCCTTCGCTTTTCCTCCCTCCAGAATAATTAATGAGTATGAGAAGTCGACGCTATTAGTCAAATCCGCGCAATTAGTTCCAGTCCTCATTGTCGGACTTTAAACATTACATAACATTATTTTCTTTTCAATCAAGAGAAAAGTTTTATCAACGGTAAAGCACTGGGGAACGACGAGGTGTACGTAAGTTATAAGACCCCGCAAACGTCTGAGCAAATGTTGATTATAGACTATGCAAGTCTCTGGGTCAAAGTATTTCATTTCAATAAATCGGTCGACGGCAATTTAATTCACAGTTTGGTTCATATGCAACGTACCCACTCCACCTCCATAACTCACAGTCGTGGGAGAATGTACAGCTATTTGCAATAATTCTGACCCCCCTACACTAATATTCATATATATCAAAGTAGCCTTAGAAATTATGGGATACCAATGCTGATATTTTTTTGAGAAAGTACTCATTCTGGGCAACTTAAAAAATATATCAGTCATGATATCCCATAATATTTAAGGTCAGTTTGATATATATGAAATATGGCAGAGGGGGTCAGAATTATTGCAAACAGCTGTATATACAACTAAATAAATATCACGAAAAGTGTCGAGTTTCCTGTCTTTTATTGTGCACTGCATAGAAGTTTTGATATTGATGTATCAATTTTATACTTATAATAAAGTACATTCAATAAAAATTGTGATGCATTTTGTATGAAATTCAACAAAATTTATTTTGCAAACTATATTTCATTGATAAAGCAATCTACTCAAGTATATTTCCAAAAGCCATCAACTCAGAGTATGAAATATCATTAATACTAAGCTCAAAATGGCACTAATTAAACAATAGAAAATGATGGAATTAACGAGTATTATTGTTTGACTTACAATCATAAAAGCTTTTAAAAAAAGTGCATGCAATGCTCTCTACATGCAAATGAACTACGACTTCTGTGATGCCTTCGCTGTTGAAGCCTCCTTGRTAGGAAACAAACATCGAAATCTCTTTTTGTCTTATATATAATTTCTTGATCATGATATGATAGTTTGATTTTCAATGTGCAAATTAGTAAAGAATTTCCCAGCATAGCTCGTGTGATTTTGAAGAAACAGCCGACGGGGTATGTTCTTTTAAATAAATGTTCTTGTACGATTTTCTCGAATATTTTTTTCTGGAATTCGAAAAGTGATTTTGAGCTACATTGTTTACAATCTTACAAGCAAATCTGGCGCCCTCCCTTCTTTTATTTTTTTTTTTTTTTTGTTTCCTGGCAAACGTTTTTGGTCAAAAAGGCTTATATAGCGTTTTTATGGTCAGAAATGGCTCATTTTTTGTAATTAATTTTTATTTTCCTGTCAAAACGTTTTAAAAAGTCTTCCATGACTGGAGAGTTCTATTTTTCTGAAATTCTCTCTGGCAAAAAGGTGTTAATTACAGCTGTCTGGAACATAAGAACAGATATATTTCTCCCAAGAACCCGTCGGCTCCTCCTAATTTTGAGAAATGACAAGGACGAACTAAACAATGTTTAATTATAACTTGCTTGACTAATTAACACAGGCATATCTACTTAGCCTTCATATGCTAATATATTTCTAGTTAACTGAAATTTTCTTCGTCAACTGCAGCTGCGAAAACGAGAATGTTCCAAGAAATATGTCTCGGTTTACTTGTCATTTTGGTAGCACACATGATATCTTCCTACTTGAATAGACCGAGGCATATGCCTCCAGGACCACTTGTTCYATTGCCAATACTAGGGAATTTAATTGAGGTTCTGCGCTGGATTAGGGAGAAGAAACTGCATCTCGAGCTTACAAAGTATGCCAAGATATATAATGGAAAAGTATTCAAACTTCAACTTCCTGGTCGARATATCGTWGTGATCAACTCAGCCTCAACGGCCCGTGAAGCGTTGCTAACGAAACGTGAYGAYTTCGCAGGAAGACCGTCSATRTTCACTTTTGATTATCTAACCTATGGCTCAAAAATCATATCAGCTTCAGACTTCCACCCCACGATGTTGCTCCAGAGAAAGATTGTTCACTCAGCTATTCGTATGTATAACCACAAGCTTGGGGACACGATCAGCAAAGAGGTTGAACATTTAAAAGAACGGTTGAAAGCATATGATGGGAAAGCTATCGACCCTTTACACGACTTAACCCTCACATCACTTAATGTAATCTGCGCAATGGTTCTTGGGGAGCATTATGAAATAGATGATCCCGAGTTTCTRATGATTCTCGACTACAACCAAAAAATGTTTTCTCTGCTTTGCCCTTTGAACATCTTAAATGTGCTCCCTTTTTTGGTCAATTTCCCAATGCAAGAATCAAGAGAAGATAAAGTTTGTTCGAGAAACAAGCCACCGTTTTTTGAAGAAAAAGTATCGTGAACACAAAGAAAGCTACAGGGATGGTTTGATTCGGGACCTTACCGATGCTTTGATAAAGGCAATGCTAGACGCTGAACAAGAGGACAACAAAACGCGAAAACTGCTTACTGAAGAACATGTTTTCTTGACGATGGGAGAGGCATTCTCTGCAGGAATTGAGACGGCGACAACCACTATACTGTGGTTTCTTATATGGATGGTCAGACACCCAGATGCCCAGGCAAAAATCCAGTCAGAGCTGGATAACATTGTTGGCAGAGATGAGTTACCTGTGTGGGAGGACAGAAAAAAGATGAACTACACCATGGCAGCGATAGAAGAGACYTTTCGCGCCTCTACACCAGCCCCTCTTATCCCTCACAAAGCAACCAAAGATTCAACTTTGGATGGCTACAACATTCCTAAAAATACCACCATCTTTATCAATACCTGGGCTATTCACCAAGATGAGAGGGAATGGGACGAGCCAGATCTTTTTAAACCAGAGAGGTTTCTTGATAAAGATGGAAAACTGATTCAAATTGCAGGTGTGAAGAGCTTTCTTCCTTTTGGCGCGGGGCGCCGTGTTTGTGTCGGTGAATCTTTGGCCAAACAAGAGGTCTTTATTGTTGTGTCAAGATTGCTTCATATGTTTAAGGTGGAACCGGAAGAATCATGGTTCTTTTCCAAGTAATACTGGAGAATTTGCTGGACTTGTCAATTCTCCAAAACCCTTCAAAATACGCTTTGGGCTCCGAAAGTAATATATATACAATTAAGACTGGCGCTCCACCAATTTTGGTCTGTGGAAATATAGACTTTTTCCAAACAATTTAGATATTGTCGAAAACAGAAAAAAAGACACCAGCCTAATTAACCGTCCATGACTGTGAGGAATAGAATAGAATGAGAATGATTGGAGAGTTATATATGTATGTTAATATATGTACTGTATTTTATCAGCGTAAAATAACTCATTTAGGAGGTTGTTAATTGGAACCACGCTTCAAATCCTTCTTCGAGCTGTACTCGATGGTACCGTTATTTGCCAATCTTTTTTTTTTTCTATGATTGAAGAATGCCATACAATATTGTAGAAAAATTCAGCAATCCAAAAATTTTGAATAATATTTTGTCTAAAAATTCCTGTTGTTGTTTTAAGGCAATATTTTTTATGTAAATTTTTTTATAACGTAACTGCATGTGGACAAAACATGTGCATGATTGAATAAATTTATGCAAGGGGACTATTTTAGGGAGTTTCATACCACAAAACTTTTGATTTTTCCTCTATTTTTACTTCCAAACGCCAATACAAAATATCATACAAATGCATAGGAAGCGTAAGCCGCGTCGCAAAAACCATTCAACACCTCTCAATCGACCGATATCTTAACAATCGTGAACCGCCGCAAAAATCGAAAACCGACTAAAATGAGCAAAAGAAGTCAAACTGCCAACCCATAATAGACCCTTGTAAAGTCGTTAAACGTAGTACAGACTTATTACAGTCTACTCACGGTGACTGAAATACAATGTTGAAAGACAAAATGTACTGTTAATATGTCGCGTACTATAGGTCAACAGTTGCTACTTTATTGGAAATAAAATCGTGCATTTAGCGATGTTCGAGCAAGAGAGTGTAGAGGCAATGAGAGATATAGCGTTATAAATTACTACTAATTTAGGCGATTATTCTCAACTCTTGTATGGTCACTTTTCAGGACACCAAATCCTCCGAAGCATGACAAGGTCACAAGGCTATCTTTAACTAATCATGCAACGCTTTAGACATATCCATTGCATATATATCATTTATCAGGCATTCCTAGCTACTTTCATCGTTGCTAGTATAATAGACTGATCCGCATAACACATATATTTGTGCACGAAGCTTATAACTACATTGCTGTTGCTATATAGTAAGTAGCTGTTTTTAATCACCGAGGCCAGATCTGCAAAGTATGGTTATATACCTCATGTCTGAGTAGTTCTATTAGCTTTCTTTGTAAGATATATTTAGGCTTTTCTTGTTGCACATTTGAGAGGAAGTTTCCGTTAGTGGACATTGTAGACACATTCTATGATCAAAAGAGATTTTTCTAGCGTTAGATTTATACTCATTGCATACTCAGATACATCATCCTAGTCTATGCTGGCGAAAGCTTCTCAGTGCTAATAAAGCCGTCAAGTCAAACTTGTCTGTGTTGATGTTTTTGTGAGTCTGAGGTTACAGTTAACCAATGTTGTAATACCATTTTTGTTATCTTGCTTTAGTAATTTTATCATTTGCAAATATCATAATATTATTTTCTTTTTGATCAAGAGAAAAAAAATTATCTATGGTAAAGCACTGGGGAAATGAGGTGTACGCTATAAGATCCCGCAAACGCCTCAGTAAATATTGATTATAGACTATGGGTCAAAGTATTTCATTTCGGGTGACGGCAATATATTTAGTATTCACAGTTTGGCCCATATACAACCCATTTCCCATCAATCACTGATGATCGTGTGGGAATGTATATACAACTAAATAAAAAAGTCGTAGTCAGACTGAATCAGACTCAAGAAGGCTAAACCAGCAAAGCTAAGACGAAAAGGAATGTTATCAATTATGGCCATAACAACTTTTCGTCTCCCAAACAATGTCTACAATGAATAGTTTATTCCTTTTCATCATGTAAAATACGGGCTAGCAGTGATCTAACGCATTCAGGCAAATATTATTCTATTACCCATGGAAATACTTTTGTTTCGATGTTTTGCAGTTTCAAGTGATTCAGTAAAAATGTTTCAAGAGGTTGCTTTTCTGCTATTGTTCTTGGTTTTCATCTATTTGCTTTTGTCCTACGTGACCAAACCAAAGGGAATGCCACCAGGACCAACACCACTGCCCGTTATAGGAAACCTGCTATTGGTATTAAAGTGGATGTGGAAGAAGAAAATGCATCTAGAAATGCAAAAGCTTGTCAAGGTATATGANTTCTTTCAAAAACATAAGACTTAAAATTATATGCTTATTATGTTAAATATTTAGGTACCACTGTCTTTATCAATGCATGGGCCATACACCTAGATGAAAAGGAATGGGAAGACCCCCATGCCTTTAACCCTGAGAGGTTCTTAGATGATGAAGGCAAGCTGATCCAAGTAGCTGGCATGAAGAGCCTCTTACCCTTTGGTGCAGGTCGTCGTGTTTGTGTTGGTGAGGCTCTAGCAAAACAAGAACTTTTTATCGCTATTGCTCGATTGCTGCATCAGTTTAAAATTGAGCCTGAAGTACCCGGATCTGCACCATCAAGGCATGGTGCACTTACAAATTCCCGTGTAATCTACCCCGAACCTTTTAAAGTACGTTTCAAGTCTCGCCAATAGCTGATTAACGTCATATTGACGCAGTATTATATCTATCGTATCATGCACTCTCATCCAATCCGGTTCTATTTTATGTCGTCCGCGTATCGAATGAACTATTCAATTTGTATCTAACCAACTTGAAAAACTATAATAGTAGTTGAAATGCAAATTTCATTCTTATCATGCTTCTGTTGCTCTGTGGTGTTTTCTATATTTTGCTGCTTAATCAATTAATAGAACAAGGTCCAGGGTGATGAATTGCGACAACGGGGCAGCGTTGTTCGCAAAGCCAGATTAGCGTTAAGGGTTAACTCCACAGGTTTTCTAAGAGTTAATAATAAGAGTTAACTCAGGATAAGCGGTAATCGGGCTTTGAACAAACCGGCCCTAGATTATATTGTTGAGTTAGAGATTGTAATCTTTACTCGTTGTAGTTCCAGACCAGTATTAACAAATGGAGGATACGATTATATCCCCTCACAATTTGCATAATCGAGATTGTATCGAAAAAAAATGTTCAAGGACATACTTCAATTATGAAAAACAATAAAGCAGAATATATAGAGAGAAATGGAAATGAGTGTTTTTGTTTTCTCCCAATTCAAATTTTGGCATTTATTTCATATCAGAGGCACTTTTTGTGGGTTTTTCCCTGAAATTCAAAGGTCGATACTATTCACTAGTTTTCTCGTAGAAACAATTTCAGGGTTATAAATTACTATTCCGATGACCTATAGATTTTAGAAGCTTAGGTCGAATTCGACATATATTTTAAGGGATAGTCGAGGAATTGTTTAAAGTTATATATATATTAAGTTTTTTTAAATACTGTCTGATGAGTGCGTAGCACGAAACTCGGAGTTACAGCAAAATCTTGCCTCTTTGATATCATATATTTATATTAAGTTCATGATTTTTTAATAACTTTTAAATGAGAATAATTATTTGTAGCTACCTGATTTACTAGGTAAGCATGCATAATGAGAATAATTTTATCAAAATAAAAATGATATGAACTCTAACATGATTATTGGCAATTGTTTAACGGCGTCGTGCAATTGTTGGGTTTTATCGAACGACAGAATTGGTTTATGATTAGGGCTTTCTCTGACTTTCTGAATTTACCAAAATCTATTGTATTACGGTGAGATTTCTTTGTATGTTAAAAAATGTCAATTTAAAAAATGGCATACTTCTTCATCTAGTATAACATATTCTTCATAAGCTATTTAATTTTGATTGTGCTCATGTTAATTTTCAGAGGTTTATTCATTTATAAACCGCTGAACAGTAGTCGATAGTTGGTTGAATACATGCATCAGGAGTTTCGGAGAACAATGCGTCCGCCGTCTTGAAAAGTGTGAGACCCGAAATGTTATGCCTAAGAACACTTTCGTAGTTGCTGAGTCAACTAATCTATCATCATATCGTATTATATTGGCTTGGCATTAGCTTAGAATCTTTTAATTTCTTTAGGAGTTATTTAGTGATTCGACTCCTACTTTTCAAGATCTTTTCAAGATGATAGATGCATTATTCTCCGAAACTCCTGATGTGACAGTAAACAATATAGAGTTTAAGCATCAAGTTTACGTCTAACGGCTAACGGCAGAGCTAAACCATTGACCTACGAATGTCGTGCCTGACCTTGTGCTTTTGGTAATCATTTGAAAGAGCAACTTTTCACGATTATGGCAACCCCAAAATAACGTGTTATCGGGTGGAAACTGTAACGGTAAACCCCTAAAAAGCAGATGACGTGATCTTTTCTGCCGTTTTCTGTTTGCCGTGAACGTCATGCTTATAGCTAGTCCATCGCAAAATATTCTATCACAGTTGCTCTCATATATATAATCAGCACATCCCTGCATATTTGAAGTTTTATGAATGGCAATTGATTTTAATTTTAGTTTTACGTAAATTTGACAGGATAATGAGAACAACAAAACAGTCAATCACACGGAAATAGCGCTTTTTTGTCGTTTTATGTTCTGTTGTATTTAATATTCCTTTTTCAAAAAAGTATGTTCTTTGCTGTTGTTTTTTTTTTGTTGCCTTTTTTGCTGTTTTTCCTTTGCTTTCTTTTTGCTTTCCTACCTTTAGCATAATGGCCGCCATCTAATTAACATAATTTTTTAAAATTTAGAATTTTAGTCAAAGTAAACTAACAGCTGATAGAAACCTGTGCTAATAACACCATATAAAAGTTGGAAATGAAAATACTAAATTCTGTTGAAGTTAATATATATAATTATATACAATTTCACCAATTTTGGTTTGTGGATATTTGGACTTTTTCCAAAGAATTTAGATATTGTGATGAAAAATAGAACAAAAAAGACCCCAACCTAATAAACCGTCCATGACTGTTAGAAATAGACAGAAGTACATAACCAGAAGTGTCYATCTCYCCATTGGTATCGCCACCATCAGATGTCCCGATAATCTATTTTTAGACAACCAATCACAACGCGAGCACATATTACACGGCACCTGATTGGTCCTTGTTGATCTACTTCAAGAGCGGACAAGAAAAAGGAAAAATGTACTCGATGGAGGCGAACGAAGTGAAGCTTGCATTATGAGAATTTTACACCTTTTTCTGAACAACCATTTCGGAATTTGATATAGAAAATATTCTTTACTACATGAGCAATGTAGCGAAAGTATTTCAAGAGCAATATGGTCTGCGAAAACAGGGGAAAAGTTACGCCATATAATGTTGTAGAATAATTTGTTGTAAAGATTAAACTATCTTATGGTATCACTTGTGGGAATTTAGATTTAAAAAAATACATGGCATTGCGCAGTATGCTACTGCAAAGTGAGATTAGGCGAGATTCCGGCAGTCTGGTTTGAGAAATTTTGGGTATGATAAACTGATATGATAAAGGCAAAATTTGGGATTTCAGCAGTCAAAAAATTCACAAAATATCGGCAATTTTTTATCAATCGACCTATATCTTCACAATCCTGAACCGCCGCAAAAATCGAAAACCGACTAACATCGTGAACCTCCCCAAAAATCGAAAACCGACTAAAATCATGAAAAAGAAAACAAACTGCCAACCCATAATAGGCCCTTGTGAAGTCGTTAAACGTAGTACAGACTTATTACAGTCTACTCACGGTGACTGAAATACAATGCAAGGCAAAATGTACTTATTATGTCACGGTACAGGGGCGGATTTAGACTCGTTCAACTAGTTTCCGGAAACTAGTGAGATTTTTCAAAAAATAGATGTAGTTGAAAGCGATACTTCAAATAAAATCATATAAACGAAAAGAATATGGAGTATTCACTGGAGTATTTTACCTGTAGATGGCAATACGATCGCTTTGGCCGCCATTTTGAAAGTTGTACCACAGGAAACCCACATTTACTACTTGGAATATAAACTTCTTTATTCTTGTGGGAGGGGACCCATCGAAATGTTTGACACAAGACTGTCGATCACGAGCCCAGAGTCCCCCAATGGCTCTTAGACAGCGGACTATCGCTTGAGAGTGCACTAGTGCAAAATGACGTAGCACTGATTCACATAGGAATCCCGACTGGTTTCCAAATAAATTCTTGTTCACACAGGAAACCCGAAATCTATTTTCAGCCAATCAGAATCGAGCTTTGGTTTGTACGAGGGAGGGGTAGGACCTAACCAGAAACTAGTCGGAAACCAGTAGAAACCAGTGATTACCCTACCCTAGTAAGGCTATGCTGTCTTCATAGCAAAGGCCTCGTGCCATTCAGTTTAGCAAAGATTTTGAAATAATTGGCCCCTAAAACAACACTAACTGAGCAAATGGAAAAAAGATCGAGGCCAGAAATACTACCAGCACTGTTTAGATCTGTTGCTCTTGTGTCGGAATGTGGATAAACCTCTCGTGAAACTGTTCAAAGGAAATTCCTGTAGTATACATTGAATTCGCCAAACAGATTCGGATTCATGCATGTGAACATTCTTCGTGCTTGGTATGTATTGAAAATAATTTCTTTTGATTTAAAAAGAATGAAAACGCTTGAACCGAATAAGTTCATATTAAACACAGTTAAGAATTGATAATTTAAATTCGAAATACAATTTTCTGGAATTCGGTTGCTAGCGTCATCTACCGCGGCGCATTGCCGTCCCTTGTGTATGTTAACAAGTTGGCTGAATCGGCTTAACTAGTTCATTAGTTTATTAGAATCATTTTGCCGACAGAAAAAAAAACAACATTTCACATTTATTTAAACATTTGGTTTTTTTCAGGCCGATGTTATAAATATTCATGTTTTAATTAATTAGCATATGTCAATACAACATTTTTTTAGTTGGAAACTAGTCTGTAAAAATGCTAGATCCGCCCCTG